TTAAAGACATTAGTTGCATTTCATCCTCAAGAGAATGTTGGAGTCTCTCTCTCTCTCTCTCTCTCTCTCTATATATATATATATATATATATATATATATATATAAAACACACACACACACACACACACACACAAACACACATATATATATATATATATATATATATATATATAGTTATATCCGCATAACCACACTGAAGATGGCTCATGTGAGTTGAAAGCTCAGATCAAGGAACAGCTTAATAAAAAATACAAAATTCATCAAAAATTAAAACTAACATACGAAGTTTAGACATTCATTGTCTGTTATATCTAAGAATATATGTTTAAATAATGATCTACTGCCCCAACACACACACACTATATATATATATATATATATATATATATATATATATATAGCGATTTACTAACCATAGATTAGATGTAGCACAAGGCCGAAAGTAGAAACCACCCAGTGGGGATCGAACTCGTTATATATATATATATATATATATATATATATATATATATATGAAATTAGAACGAATCGAATATATATTCAAACGTTCATGACATTAATTTAAAATACAATCCAATAGTAGAGCAATATTCTTTATTATAGGATATTACGTTTAAACATTTTTTGAATGTAATACCTATATATATATATATATATATATATATATATATATATATATATATATTCATAAATATTGTCTTCTCTCCTGGTTAAATCGGAGAATTTTCATATATATATATATATATATATATATATATATATATATGTGTGTGTGTGTGTGTGTGTGTGTGTGTGTGTGTGTGTGTGTGAAAAGATACAGATACATGGTTGCACGTAAAAGGAATTCAAAGAATTTGATTGATCAATTTATCGAATTCAATCCACCAGAAAAGGAATTAATCTCATTTTCTATCGATCTATTCTTTATTTGAAGACCCTATAAAGTTCCCGATGGATTACACTCATTCACACATGCGCATGAATATTGTCTTAGTGTTGAAATAAAAAATGTAAATATGGGAAAATAAGATAGAAAATCTGTATTATGGCAAACCTTCAAAATAATCGACTTGAATATTAACATTCAAAATCCTAACTCTAAACTTCTAAAATCCCCCAGTATTTCTGCTTCGAGACAAACACTATACACATTTAAATATATATACGTATTTTTATCAACATGTGTATCTATAAAAAACTCTTGTGTTCATTTCCGTGCGTAGGCTTATGGGGGCGTAGTAATATATAGATACTGCTATCTGTCGTTAGAGTTTCTCGTCGCTAACCAAAAATTAAGCCGGCTTTAGGAGAGTAAGGGGGGAATTGTCACACGATGAGATCCATAAACTTTATGAGATGTGTTCAGACACGGTAGAAATTTTGGCGTATTAAGCACATATATAAGATGACGAAATCGGAGTGAAAGGACTTTTTTGGTTTCTCTTGCCAAGAGGGAAGATCACCAGCAAATTTTCTTTTAACAGAAATTCACTTCTATTCCTGATACAAACAACCGTTGTCAAAATGAGAGAAATTGTTCATATGCAGGCTGGACAATGCGGTAATCAGATTGGAGCAAAGGTAAGTAGGATTATCATATTCTTTAAGACTTATGAATCATACATTTTGAGATAAGGCCTAACTGTACTTTACGAAAAAATGTCAATGATTTTATTCTTTCTGAGATAATATTCATGCCATCATCTTAAAAAAATTATTTACCGATCGTTTGGGTAAGAATTCATTTTCGGAAACATGATATAAATGAAGAGTTAACTCGGTTGCTGAAAATTCCAACTCCGAGACAGCATTTTGTTGCAAATTGGGAAAGTCGTGGGTTACATTAACGTCTTTGCAGTATAAGGCCAAGGGGACTGGGTAAAATACGAAATCTTTCCAAAAGCTAAACAAAGTGTTAAGAAACAGGATAATTTCATCAGAAACAAAGAAAAGAGTGTCAAACTGCTATTTCAAACTTCCAATATGGTAGTGAATGCTGGACAATCTCTTCACAGATGAAGAGGTCACTTGATGCTACAGAGATATGCTTCTACAGAAGGATGCTGAAAATACATGAATGGAGCTTGTGAACAACGAGGAAGTTGAAATTTCTGGGATGCATAATAAGGAAAGAGGGCTCGAAAAAGCTGACACTCACATGACATCGAAGCTAAGAGGAGCCGAGGGAAACAGCGTGTAACCTACCTAACGAAAGAAGATGGGAGGGGTCGTAATAAGGCAAACATTGAAGGATAGTAATTTATAGGATGAGGAGTTATCATTATTTACATTATTTAAACGCGGACTAAGGCTAGGAAGTTGTTGGGAGCCATAATTGCAGAGGGGGACACTGTACATAAAAGAAAACTCACATGTATGTTAAATATAATTTTGTCCTATCTGCTCTAGTGTGGAGGTTAAAAATACCAATAAAATAGGTTGATATTGTTTGATTGCCAACTGGAGAAGATATGCTATACTTCTTAAGAGGGAAGATTAAGAAGGATTATTATTTGAGTGAGACATTTGAAACTTTTTTAATTCTAAAAATGTTGGTATTTTATGTTCCAAACTCAACGTCATACTGTAAGCCAGTTACCAGTATTTTCAGGATGAAGTAATGGATATTTTAATTTAATCTAAATTAAAATATTCAATAAACTCTCGATGAGATAAGACTTCTTCCTTTGCCTTGGTTGGTTGCCAATTCTTCAGCTAAAGAAGTTTCGTGTAATCATGGTTAGTTCGAATTTGACAAAGCTTCATTTTTCGATTCTGTTGATAATTACGATAATTGAGACAAGATAAATAATCTGCTCTCACCCACACATTTATACTTTTGCAAATAAAGTGTATTTTTCGCCGCACAAGTAAAACGCATGCTCAAAGAAGCCTTCATGTTTTATTTTTATGTTTTTGTAAACCTTTTCTTTCTTTTTTAAATGCGCAAAGAAAAAAATGTTGAAATTTGGAAGTATCTGACCGATGTGAAAGTTCACCAGTAACAAATTTTAGAATTTGATTGAAGGAAATGTGTTACTCTTTGCGTTAAATCTCTTTATAAAACAATCATTTTTATAACGCACACACATACACGTAAGTACATCAATAAGTCAGAAAAATGATGAAAGCAAAAAAGAAGCATTTAGGATCATTTCTGTTAATTCGCCCCCCCCCCAATTATAAATTTTAAATCAAAGTTTTTTGCTTTTTTTTTTTATTAAATTTCTGGTACTCTTTCGAAATTATAAATTTTAAATCAAAATTTGTTTAGCTTGCCTCGTAACGACTCAGAATGAAAAAATATAAAAAATCAGGGAGTTATTCACATTTCGTAAAGGCGGATGATATTCGATGTACTTATAAGGAAATTTTACAATTTAAAAAAAAAGAAAAAAGAAAAATAATTTGTTTTTGGCTTGTTTATCGGGATGAGCGCTATGCATACCCCACACTTAGAAATAACGCAACCGAATCCCCAACATTTGAGACGATCGCAAAGGTCAACTCAACTGGAGTGCAATGGAAGGCCATCGCTCTGGGAGAATTTGGTGTGAATTTTAGTAAATATAAATTCTTTTTATTTTAGGGTGAATTAATATTTTGGGCTGAATCAACAGAAAAGACCCAGCATTTATTTTACACAATAAATGTCTATCTCACAACTTAATCTCTTTCGTTGTCTCTGCCTTTAACTTTTTCTTCAGTAATTACAAATATATACGCAACAAATAAGCATAAAAATATTTATTTTAATCATTTTAAATGTTAGGTAGTCTAAAAATCTAATCTGAGGGTAGTGCAACTGTTATCGGCGCTGAAAACGCGATTGGCAAGATGAATTCCAAATAGGGTCGGGGTTGTTGCGTTGACTTTGCGAAAGGTATGTATCCATCGCTTCTTCCTCAACCACAACTATGGATAAATTCGTCGGGTAGACTGGGCTCTGTTGCCTCTGTGGGGCAATGAGTTCCTTTCAGAATGCAAAAGGTTTTTGAATACAAAATCGCAGAAAAGTTACTACCGTTCCCAAGAAGAAATATGTCTATTTATAAGATACAGATATATATATATATATATATATATATATATGTGTGTGTGTATATATATATATGTATTTAGTTTGCACACTTCTAGGCGGTGTAATGTTTAGCAAGTTTGTCTTGCTAGAACACTGGGTGAACCATACTTTCGGCCTTGTGCTACACCTAAGCTACGCTTGGAAAATCAGTATATATATATTTAGTTGGATTGATGTGAGATTGTGACACTGGGTTTCACGCTATTTACGATTGAGTTTGTCTGACGATCGCAAATAGCGTGAAACCCAGGTCAAAAACTCACATCAATTCAACTAAATATGTTAGCTCTATCACTGAGCGCTTTCCAATATATAATATATAAATAATATATATAATATATATAATATATATATATATATATATATATATATATATATATATATTGCTTATATATATACACACACACACAATTTACACACACGTACACACACACACATATATATATATATGTCACCTTCTTAACACACACATATATACACATATGCACACACATACACATATATGCATGTATATGACCTTCTTAGCACACACACACACACACACATATATATACATATGAAGAAATATAATTTTAAAGTATGTTATATTTATGGGTTAAAGTGTTCAATATCAGGGATAGAGCATGGCCTGACGATTGCGTTTAGCATGGAACAGCCTGTCGCCTCTGGGTGTTGACTTCAATGTTCACTTTTATATTTACATACGCTCTATATCTGATACCGAGCCCTTTAACCGATAAATATAGCATAACATAAAGCTGTATTTATTCACACACACACACACACACACACACACACACACACACACACACACACACACACACACACACACACATATATATATATATATATATATATATATTGGCAGGTGTGGTTAGAATGTTCGACTTTCAACCATAGGTTTTTTGGCTCCATCACGTTGAAACACCGGTTTCCGTACGGACACCTTTGTTAAGCAACGTCGAGCCTAGCCAGTACTTAGATGGGTGTCTGCTTGGGAATACAAGGTGTTGTAAGCTTGGGTGTGCGGGTGGTGTAGTGGATAATGGCTCGGAATTATTACTCGGAGGGCCGAGTTCCAATTCCCATTGAGTTCATTATATTCACTAACTCGCAAATATCCTTTGGAAAGGTATGAATTCACCTCTTCCTCTCTCTATCTATGGGTTAATTAGTAAGACTTGTCTTAGTAAATTATTATTATCCAAACAAATAAAAAATAAAAATAAGTAAATAAAAATTGTGTATAAAATATTTAGATTTCGGCATTAAATAACCCATAGAGGTGTTGATATGCCGCAAACAAAGACAGCTAACCAAGCTTGGGAGAAGCGATCCTAGTAGCCCCTTTGGAAAGTGCCTGAAAACAATACCAAGCATTGTGACTAATATTGGGTAGACGGAACTATATGGGAGCCTTCGATGGTTGTGTTAGTACGAAGTCACAAGTCATTTTGACTAAAGATTTGATCGTACTGCCCTTGTTGATTATACAAGATAATGGAATGCGCACACTCTCAGAAACTGTATCTTAGGTCCACTTTAGCATAGTTGCAGTATAAACGACAGGTGGGGGTCTGTAGGTGTTGAACAAACACAAATGTTCCTGAGCAGGCGTCTACAATATGGCTTGGCTAGACGCCGTAGCAGACAGGCAAACTGATATACAAGCGACCAGACATTACGCACGCGCGCAAACACACAGCCCCCTCCCCGCGCACACACACGTGTGTGTGTCTGTGTGTGTGTGTGTGTGTGTGCGTGGCGGGATGTATAGATAATATATGCATCCTTGTGAATGTGCGTATGCATATAAGTATATGTATCATATATTTTTATATACGAATATTCGAGAAAACTTGTCAGAAAACATATGCCGGAGGGCGCATAATGTTCTGACAAAACTTCTCGAATATTCAGGCCGGTAGATGTACTTGGATAAAAAATACTGTTTAAAAAATAGACCTTCTACTCGAATATGAGTATCGGTCAAAAATAACATTTAAATAAAATAAATTCAAAACACACACACACACACACACACACACACACACACACACACACACACACACACACACACACACACACATATATATATATAATATTACATAAATAAAAGTTCAAAAAGCTTATCTTCCGACTTCAAGTTTTACGCCGCTCGTTAGATTTATTTAAGCCTGACGAACGGCGTATATGAAAAACTTAAGCTACTTTATAGATATACTTCCGGAGAGAGTTAGCATCCAGGGCTTGATTTTAGCCTTTCAGTCTCACGTTTCACTTCGCCTTTCGTCAACCAATCCCAATAATCTTTTAGGGCCTTGGTGTCGTCAAAGTGTTAGATTTACTTTTCATTTCTTTTTACCCTCTTCAGTCTTTTCTTTATTCTCGATGTTTTTTGACGAACGGCTGTTTACCAAACACATACCCTTCACTGAGGATAAGACCTCTTCCTTTTTCTGTTCATGGTGTAAAATTACATTTGACTTTTGATATACGTCACCATTCTAAAAATTTGGAGAGAGTTATTATTTCCAGGACACACTACCTACCAAGTCTGCGGAAAGACCTAAGGCAGGTCGTGGTGTGTTGTTATGGCCACATTTCATGTTAATTTTTTTTTTTTTTTTTTTTATCTCCGATGAAGTTGCTAGCGTTACATAGACAAAGTTCTCCTTAGTGTGTGTGCTGTACTTAATAAGACAATTTTCTGTATGTCTTAAGCTGGGGTTTCCAGGATTCTTTCAATGTGTTGTTTTGTTCCATTTTTTATAACCAATTCCACTGGTATTATTCTTGTTTTCAATTTCCACATTTTTTTTTCAATTTCAGGCCTTTGTATTTTGATAGTTTTTTCAAATTCTTTGGTTGCTATGTTACAATCCGCTGGACAAGCCATATCAATTAGTAGGCAAGGCAATGTCCGGGCATTCAATTTTTCTGTCTGTGTGGATGGTATAATCCCATAGAATGGTGACATCTTCTTTTCTGTAACTCGATGTTCTGTACATTTTCCAAAGTGTTTGCACATTGTCCAGTTTCAGTCTTATCGTGACGATTTTTTATTCATTTGGGGCAAGTATAGAACATCCTGATTAGATGGTCTATTGTTTCTTTATTTGTCACAGAACCTGCATTTGGATCCACATTATTTGTATGATATTTGCCTGAAAATTCCGAGTGTCTCATTTTGCTTTGTTTACCAAACACGATGAGTACCCTTTTCAACATTGAGGATATTAAGAGGTTTGTCTTGCCAGCGTTGTTTCACCTTTATCCATATCTTTTCTGCAATAGTTGGTCATCTGTTTTGATTTTTTACAGAATCTAAAATTAAATTTGACTGCCTTCTTTATTTTGATATTTTTCTTTCTGTTTACGTCACCATTCTAAAAATTCTGTGTTCGAGTCTATTATTATTATTATTATTATTATTATTATTATTATTATTATTATTACACTATTCAAATTTCTAATATATAGATATTAAAGAAAAGAATGAAACTTGTGGAGAATTATGATCGCCTACGTCCTGAAACTTATACACCCATACTTAAGGAATCACTGATTTTTGTCGGTGGGGATAAAAGCACATTATTTTGTAAATATTTCAAGACTATCAAGCAAGATTCAAGAATGAATCAAATTACTACTTTTAGTGCAAAATGCCAGACGCTTGTATTTTTAACAGAATTTTTAATGATAGAATTACGACTTGAATTAGAGTCGATCTATATATTGTTATTGTGACTGAATAGGAAAACGTAAAAACTCTGTTCCAATAAGTACAACAATGAAAACTAAAACACGATAAATGAATGGCAAGAGAGAAGAAACTCATTAGTGACGTAATGAGAAAGAACATCTTCAGGCAAATAACGGGTTTATTGATGGAATCGATTTTATTAAAATCGGATAAACACACACACACAGATAGAAACCTCCACATACGCATCAAATTTCATTATACTTAAAATTTACACATAAGTGTGTAGGAGTTTCTTCCCTTAGACGCTAAAAAAAAAAAAAAAAAATTTAATAAGTCTAAGACACAATTCATAATTTTTATTCAGATAAATAAATTAAATACCTCCAGTAATTACTGAATTAAAAGATTGGTCTTTTTTCTGACTATAGACAGGTTAACACAGATTAAATTATAAATCCCATATTTTTTTTAAAACTACCTCTTTCCGATACGCGTATATCCACTTTGTTGACTTGTGTTTTTTTATGAATAACCAATTGCCACAATAGATAGATGAATATTTTATCGGTGACTTTAAATGCGCTATCGTTTCACAAGATTTAAAAAGTTGGTATTGTATAACTGGACAATGATAGAACCAGCGACCCAATGGATTGTTTACAAGCCATAGATTAAAACAATAAAAATAAAATAAATAGAACAATCATCAATGAAGTCATTACTGTTGACTGGCGTTAAAAATTGCTTCCTGTTTCATCGTGAGAGTGAAAGCAGAGTTACCCTGTATTGTTTGGATAACACAATTCAATAATAATAATAATGTCTAAGAAATATTGGATTAAAAATCAAATTGAATAACAAGGTACAAAAAACTTTGTAAGTTCGTCCTCTAAAAAGACTTTATCAGACAAAAAAGTAATGTATTTATTGCTGGAATTATGTATGTATGTGTGTGTGTGTGTGTGTATGTATATATATATATATATATATATATATATATATATATATATATATATATATATATATATATATATTCAGAGAACTTAAAACGATTACTTGGTTACTTATTTTAGTGCATCATATTACTTACAGCTATTGCCACGTGACACAAACAATAGCCAGTGCATTATTTAAACAAATAAGTTGGAAATAATCAACAGTGCCTTTTTTATAGCCATGTGTCACTTATATTATTGCCAGGAAAAGACTATTTTTACTTTTACATAAGTAATGAAGTAATCGTTCTAAGTAACGCTTAGCCTGATTAAGTCCTTTCAGTCTTTTCGAAATGCGTGACATAGCAGTGTTTCCCACTTTGTCATTCGATTGCCTAATGCTGTGAACGTTAGAATTTACATTATTTTCGTTCTCATTACATTTGGATAAACATTTATATATCATATTCTCACATTAAAAGAACCCTTCACTCTTTGTGAACAGTCTCGTAGAATATGTGATAGTTGCCGAATTACCCGCACCTTGCTGTGTGTCGCATATGTTTTTATAAGAAAATGATCATTGATTTTAAATCATTGTTATAATTTGTGGAGAGAGCTAATGGATTTCAATATTACTCAATGATCTTGCTGATGTGATCTCCATCTTCTGGCTTTCTCCGTCTATATTTTAGACAAGAGTCATTCCCTTGTTCAAATTTAAATTTAATTTACATATTTAATTGTACTACTAGATTGTATAGTTGGAATTGATAGATGTAACCATAAGTTCTATGCTAAAAGTTTCTTATCTCACACTTTTCGCTTGTGAAACTCTTTTTTAGTTTCTTGCCATCCAGTCAACTTTGATCTTCAAAAATTTAAATGCAATGTTAAATTTTCATCTTCTGTCTTTATAATTCCTGTTCTTTTATTGTTCCCTCTTCTTAATAATGTATTCTCAAACTCAGTAATCCCTTACGTCTTAGTGGCTTTATTGCCTTGCTTGTGGTATAATGATAAAAAATACATCAGAACACGCCATTTTCGCTTTTTTATGTATTAGCTTCTAACTTTTATATAAGTTTTATACGCAGAAAGGTCTCTTGGACTCATTTCAGAAAATAGACGCCAAGCGGTAAGAAAAAACAAAAAAAAAAAAAAAAAAAAAAAAACAACAAAAAAAAAACGGGTATTTAAAATCAAAATAAAATTAGGAAAGAATTTAAAAAAATGTATATTTTATGCATGGATCACATAAAATAAATATAGAATTAAGTGATTTAGACCCAGCACAATTTTCATCATCTGATTTGGCTTCCGACCTCCATTTTTTTACGAGTAGATATCATGAAGCCTATTAGTAGAATTTC